GTTTTGAGTTAACAAGGCTATGAGGTCAGAAACCATATGTTCTTCTACCTGCTCTTTCAAAATCGTAAGATTACTCAAACTCATTATCAAGATTGTCACAGAGGTGCGTTAAAATAAGCTTGACAGGTGAAACTCAAATTTTTTACGTTAAATTGATCAAAACCAGGTACTGAGCAGACTTTGTAATTCTGAGGTAGCAAACGATAGAAGCAAATTCAACTGTATATTACGAGGAACTGTTTCTTCCTTTATAGTGAGGGTGACGTCACGTAAAGGCTGAGCTCCTATCGTCGACGGCGGCAATGAAGACGGTTGACAGATAGCTGCCTTACCTCGAATTTCCTCATTCGTCTTTACTGGCACCACTGATCAATAACTGTTCCGCCTTAAAACTACTAGACTTGCCTTTTGTACAAAGTAAGGAGAAAACTCTATTCAATAACGGAAAAAACTATTATTTTTAATTAAACGCGCAGCTTCACTAGTATTGTGACCACAGCTGAATGCAGTAAAACAGTTCATAAGTCATATTTCTCTACTCCGAAGATTCTATTTCAGGAAGAGTCAACATGGGATCATTTCTTCTGCAACATAAATAACGTTCATTAGCTAAACTCTCCTCACGCTCCTGGAAACCAAAGTAGATTATTGTGCCGTGCTCCCCTCCACTCTCATTTTTTTCTTTTTTTTTTTAAATAAGGTATCCGGTTAAACTCTTCAGATGGCGAGGCGGGAAAAAAACGTTCTTTTTTCAGGGCATTGTAGATGATAAATGGGATAGGAAGTGATCATGATAGAGAAAGTATTATGTACTCTTCCTACTCCAACTCCACTTCCTCCTCCTCTTCCTCCTTCTCATCCTCCTCCTCCGCCCCCTCCTCCTTCTCAACACTATCCAGCTATGTTTCTTCTTCTTCCTTTCATTTTTCTTTCTCGTCCATTAAGTATTAAACATTTTAGTAAGTGTAAAAATTTCGTTATAAAATCAAAGACCCGGTGAATCAGGGCAATTTTTTGGGCGTGTGGAGTTTTTCGTATCATCTTAAAACTTGTTCCTTTGTCTTCCTTTTGATAAAAAATACCCGTCTTAAAAAGGATTCAAGACATTTGTGATGAAGGTTTTGAGGATCACCTGGTTTCTGAGGAAATGTTAGTAAGAAAATGGAAGGCAAGGTTTGGTGACTTCCATAATTTGAATCCTTGGAAACTAAAAACAGAAAAATTACACTTTTCTATCCTTTAATAAAAGATTTTGGTAAAATCCACATCGAAATATGCTTTCTAAAGGACACAAAAGTTGCTAACCCAAAAAAAAGAAAATTTGAAAAAAAATTGCCCAACGTACAAAAAAAGCCAATTTCTTTGATTTCATTATTTTGACAAGCGCCTGATTTCATCACGATGCCTCACATATAGCAAATATCAATGTATAAACTTACAAAATGAAGCCAATTTTATTCTTTTTTAAGCTGTGTCAGGAACAGGTGCGAAAAACTGAGCTGCTGGTGTCGTTCTGTGTCAACATGTCTTCATCTCAAGTCGGGTCAGCTGTAGAAAAAAATATATCATAAGTGCAGCAAGTGCAGATTCCAAGCTTTGAGGGAAAAATAATATTTTAAAAACCCTCTCTCGTGCGCACAAAAGTTATTGTGCATACTGAAAAAACCCACGAAAACGAATGTACCTACACCAAACGGTAAACCATCTCTCCCAAATCAACTAATCATCATGCAAAAGCCGTCTGCACTGCGAATTCCAAGCTATTTGGCTTCGATCTTTCACCCCCC